TAAAATAGAAGTAAGAAGAAATCAGTTTCTCAACATTTTCGTATTTTATATGTTCGATGAAATCAAATAGGGAGCCGCTGGAAATAATATAGAGGCGAAAGGTAAGTCGCCATATTTTTAGGACTAGAAAAACATCCGATAGCCTTGAAGTCGGAAAATTTGAAATGAACTTTATCAAGTAATTAGGGTGGTTCTCAGAACTCATATTTTCATGTTTCGGACTACACGGTCAGTGTAAGGTAATTCAGGCCCGGCAGAGTGAAACTGGGACCAAAAACTGAAAAATGACCAAAAATGTAATTTACTGCTTTTCTCATGCCAACGACAAAATTAACATCTTTTTCTTGCAAATGCGTTCTCTATGTTCCAGTCCTTGACATTTATGTCGGAAATTGAAGAAACTAATTTATTGCACACACTCTTTACAAATTATGTTAACTAAAATAATTTTCATGATGAAGGAATATACCAAATTTCACTTTACGTGGCTGTAATTAGAAAAAAGGAAAAATGGGAAATTTCTCCTCCAATAATATTTTTTTCATTCCAGTTAATGCTCATGCACTGAACCATTTTGTTTTGATAGAGTTGAAGGAAAACATTTCAAATCATGTAATTTTCATTATGCGTGCCATGATTTGAGCTGTGTTGCCATTGCCTTGCTCTTATTTTGGCGAGTAGATGTCTCATATGAGTGCGGGGTCAACTATGGGCGGCGCCAGCCGGCTCGGCTTACTGTTGGGAAAGCTGAGCTTGTTTCATGAGTTTGCTAGCTTTTGCAGTAGTAATCGATATGAGGGATCAAAATGGGGCGTGTCTGAAGCTGCACCATATAAAAGAAGAGGATTACAAGTTTTTCTACACTTGGTGCTCTTAATTAGATCCTCATTACCTTCTCCTTTAAGATCACATGCCTTACTCGATAGCATAAGAAATCTGCTTACTCACAGTCATGAAAGGGTATTGCAATAGCACCCATTCGTCAAGGGTAGTGACGCCGTGCTTTATGAATCAATTATTCGAATGCGGCGAAGAACACCAGAGAGGGCCCTTCGCCAAGTAAGTGTGACGGCCCAATTATTCACAACCTTTTTATCACAAGAACCGTTGCAGTTTTCTCATCGGGGTCGCCTCAGCAG